AGACAGTGCCACTGCACTCCAGCCTGGGCAACAGGGCAAGACTCCGTCTCAAAAAATAAAAAAGAGAGCCCAGCTCACCTGGAGAAAGTGAAACCACATTTGAGTCTTGAAGGATGGGAATTAAAGAGAATTATTGTTTCTTCCTCTCCTCTCTCAGTCTCCTTCCTGACCTCACAGCCTTCAGCCTCGCCACCTCCAATTAGGTTTGTTCCCAGAAGCAAATGTAAATCTGACCCAATCCCTCTCCTTCCATTGCTCCCAGGTTCCCTTACGACAAGTCCATGCTCCTCACTGAGGCCTCCAGGACTCTGCCCGATCTGGCCCTGCCGTCTCCTGCCTTGACATGCATGCCCTTATATGTTACACTTAATCACACCAAATCTCTATTAGTTCCCTCAGTTATCCATGTTCTCGCCTACTCTCTGCTTTTTGCAACAGAAACTTGTTCCTTCCACTTGGAACATTTTCCCGTCCTCTCCTGTCCCAGCTGACTCCTACCCTACCTCTAGATCCTTGCTCAGCTATCTCCTCCTCCAGGAAGCCCTCCCTGACTCACCTGGCTGGGTGGAGCCCTCTATGGGATCTCAGTCTCCCTCCTCTATGGGATCTCAGTCTCCTGGGTGTGCACCTGAGTCTTCTGGGCCTGAACACCTGGGGTTGGCGCTGACTTACAGTGAGCCTTGCAAGGGTAGGGTGTGTGGTTGCCTTGGTCACCACTGTGTCCCCATATGAACCTGGGCCCAAAGCAAATACTGGTTAACGAATTATTGATTGAATGGGTTAATGGATGAAAGAATGGATAGGCAGATTGCCAGATGGGTAGATAGAGGGGTGAATGGGTAGATAGATGGGAAAATAGAAAATGGATGGATGTTTGTTTTTTGTGTTTTTTTGTTTGTTTGTTTTTGTTGTGTTTGTTTGCTTGTTTTTGAGATGGAGTCTTACTCTGTTGTGCAGGCTGGAATGCAGTGGCGCAATCTCGGCTCACTGTAATCTCCGCCTCCTGGATTCAAGCGATTCTCCTGCCTTGGCCTCCCGAGTAGCTGGGACTACAGGCGCATGCCACCACACCCAACTAATTTTTGTATTTTTAGTAGAGACAGGATTTCACCGTGTTGCTCAGGCTGGTCTTGAACTCCTGACCTCAAGTGATCCACCCGCCTCGGCCTCCCAAAGTTCTGGGCTTACAGGCGTGAGCCACCGCGCCTTGCCTAAAATGGGTAGATAGAAGGACGCATTAACTGGTGAATGGTAGTTGACTGAAAGAGAGGATGGGCTGGTTGAGGTGGCTAGCGCCTATAATCCTAGCGCTTTGAGGGGCTGAGGCAGGAGGACTGGTTGAGCCCAGGAGTTTGAGACCAGCCAGGGCAACATAGTGAGACCTCATCTTTACTTTTAAAAGTTTTTAGGCCAGGCACGGTGGCTCACACCTGTAATCCTAGCACTTTGGGAAGCCGAAGCAGGCAGATCACATGAGGTCAGAAGTTCAAGACCAGCCCGGCCAACATAGCAAAACCCCATCTCTACTAAAAATACAAAAATTCACCTGGCATGGTGGCGAGCACCTGTAATTCCAGCTAGTCAGGAGACTGAGGTGGGAGAATCGCTTGAACCCAGGAGGCGGAGGTTGCAGTGAGCAGAGATGGCACCATTGCACTCCAGCCTAGGGGACAGAGTGAGACTCCGTCTCAAACAAAAAAAAAAAATTTTAATAAAGAATTTTTTTTTTTTTTTTAAGACAGGGTCTCACTCTAGTGCCCAGGCTGGAGTGCAGTGGTGCCATCACAGCTCACTGCAACCTCTGCCTCCCAGTCTCAAGTGATCCTCCTGCCTCCCAAGTACCTGGGACTACAGGTGCCCACCACCAGGCCCAGGTAATTTTTGTATTTGTTATAGAGATGAGGTTTCGCTATGTGGTCCAGGCTGGTCTTGAACCCTTGAGCTCAAGCGATCCACCCGCCTCAGCCTGCCCTCTCTCTCTTTTTTTTTTTTTTTTCTTTTTGAGATGGAGTCTCGCTCTGTGCCCAGGCTG